CGCTGATTAGACACATCCTAGGAAAGACTGCAGGTCAAGAGGCAGAGCTGCACACACATACTTGCTTTGGTGAATATGAAGCAGGAATCTCCAAAAGCCATCAATGCAAGCAAAACTTGACATCTCAGTATTGGACTTCAGCCAACCTGGTTTAGACCCACAATGATAAAGAAAGAAAATCCTAAAAGTTCACAGAATATCTTGAGTTGGAAGGAAGATTGAGTACAGCTCCCAAATTAATCCAACAGAAACTGGCTTCTGAATTTCAAAGACAAGTACACAATTTCTACACTGCATTGTTTTAAAAAATGAACAGGTATTGTTTGGCTTAAACCATTCTTATATAATCTGTTTAAGATCCCTTTTCCCACCATAAAAGCAGTTCAAACTTCGGCAGTTTCCTGTAAGTTTCCCCACTTACAGCACAGTCTTAGTTGCTCAAGACAGAAGAAAATTTCCCAAGTAAGTAGGAAGGCAAGGAGGCTGGCAYAGGCCTGTCGGGTGGCCTGGCTGTGGAGCAAATAGACTTGGTTTCATCTCGGGTGCTGTCAAACAAGGCAGACCAGAAGCAGATGTGAGTCTGCTGCTTTTTGCCTCCATCCCCAGAAGACACAGCCCCGCTGTGAATCATCCTGCGGAGGCCACCTCGTCATACACGGGAGCGGTGCCTGAGGTGCCGCCACAGAAAACCACTCTCCCAGAGCAGAAAAACACACAGAAAGAAAAAATGCAATTTACTATCACGAAATCAAGAAGTCAGCCAACACTAAGTGAYGAGCCTCTCTTTACAAGTGACTCTGGAAACCTCTGAAGGCTCAGACACTGTAATTTATTAGCAACCCAGACTAACACTTGATGATGTTACTGCCATATATCTTTCCCCTCAGCRCTCAGTGAGCAGAGTCTCACACTTGTTGGAGGGGATGGCACATTTCCAAACACAACTKCTATTTAAATCATTAAGAATGATGYCTGGCCTGTGAAACAATATTCAAAACCACTGACTACAGAATACAGGTGGACTTTGCATGATAATCTTATTAATATAACTAATCATAGCAACTAACTCTGGATACGAAGTTTACCACACACAAATTCTGAGCAGGTTACTCCCTATGGAAGCTTTTCTTTCTTGTTCTTTTTTTTCTAGTTCTACTTGCTTTCCTTCTCTCTTCCCTTTCCCTTTTTTTTTTTAAGGCAAACCCTACATTTCAGGAGAATGTTATTAAAAAGGCTTCTTTTTTTTCTTTTTCTTTTTTTTTTTTTTTTCGTAAGCAAGACAGGAATTTCCCTAATCACAAGCCTCTCATGAGAGGCAACAGTGTAAATTCAAATCTCTCGGATTTATTTACCGTGTTTTTTCCCTAAAACAACCACCAGTCCAGTGGATTTTGCAAAACTCACAGAATTCACAAAAAATGTATTTATGCAAACTTCTTCAGTATAAGAAGTTTCAATTTCTTATAAGCTACACGACCAACCACAACACAAATATTATGCTGCTGCCATTTTTAGTTTGAATTTGCTCGCTATATGCACATAAGTAAACAAGGCAATCTACCTGGACATATTCCACAGAGATMAGAAAAACCCACTGAAAACAGATTTCATACATTTTATTCCTCTGAAACCACCATATGCCAAGTACAGTGCCAGACCCAGGAGTGAGATCACACCCACTTGGACAGTCACTACAGCAATGCATTACATTAACCTGCACTCACACAAATCAGCCAGAGATTTTGGACAACTTCATCTCCAAAATAACATGTTCAGAACTGAAATAATACAACTTCAAATAAGTTTGTACAGACTCTATGCAGAACTTTCCAAATGCATGAAAAAACACCTAAAAATATGTATAAATACAGATTTACACCAATAATTGCTGCAATTAAGTTTGTATCAGTAAAGACATATTAGTTAAAATGACTGTATTTTGTCCCATTACAAGAACAGTTATTCAAYCTGATATGCAAATACCAGTGTGCCCACTGGTACATCTGATGCTTACAAAAAGGAGCTAAAATTTAGTATTTTCAATATATACTTCTCCATCCCTGAAGCTGGAACAAACTGTATTAAACACCTCTTATCTAAATGCATTACAAAACAGTTCCAGTTTTATCTTCTAGAGTTTCGATTACAAACAACTAGCTCTGAAATTAATCTCAGTCAACAAGGAATCCATATCGGTTTTAAAACTCAAGAAAAAATGCCAACAAAGAGTGCTAGTTTTATTGGTGAAGTAATGTCTGCAGATTAATTAATTCAGAGCCCTATTGTGTTCAGTGCTGAAGACAGTAAACATGTGTCTCCTCTAAAGAATTTAAAGAAATTATTAGCTAATCAGAATMATTAGATTAATATATTAAATGCTCAAAACAACAAATTACTTGTATTCAGATTCTATTTTAACTTAAYCCAGTGATTTTTAACTTAAACTCTTTGTATTGAAATCATCTGTCCTTCACAGGCTACAGGTCATGCTAATGGAGAAAACAGACTCATCAATTAGAAACCGAATATGAATAAAGCCAGGAAAATGAAAACCTTTGTGGAGTTTTTCAAAGAAAAAGTCAGCATGGAACAGAGAGCTAGAAAGTAGGACAGCAGAGGAGAAAGTTACACCAGCTATTCCTCAGGCCAGAGGAGTTCTGCACCTACACCTAATTTCAGTTGTTCAGGAAGCAACCGCTGATGCAACCACCCCAAACCCTTTTAGAGATTAAGACCCAAGTCTAATTAATTTGCTGAACATTCAGTACAGAAGAAAACAAATAATTTGAAATAAATCAGGTGCAAGTCATCCTCCCCCCCCATTTCCTTCATCTTCATTCGTTGCCCTACTCATGAATCGATTGTGCAAAAGACTTGACCAACTGGTAAGTGAGCTCTTGGGAGGGGACAGACATTAAAGGAACAGCCAGGAAGGAGGCCAAGAGAAAGCTTGGCTCCCGAGTTTCACCCAGTGATCCTTTCCACTGCACAACAATAAGAGGTTCCCACCCCGTGAACTTTGGAAGTTTCCCAACTGCTGGAGACATTTACTCCACCAGCAGCAGCACTGCCTACGCCAAGAGCTACTCTATTGCATTCTCCCTGGCACACAATTGCTTTTTCTTTCTATAAAGCAGCCAGGTAAATCACACATCAAATGATACCTCACCTTTGAACTACTTAAGAATTCAAGTCACAATATAGTGCAAGGAGCAAATGTCACACCAACCACGGTGGATGAGCTGATGCAGCCTGTTGCAATTAAAAGTAGCATGTGTAACATTTTTCACAAAAAAATCAAGTGATAAATGGCTTCTGGTAGATGCAAGGCAGCATCAAGGATAATAATCTAATTCAGGGAATTTGGACATGTGAGCTCTCTGGATTATTCCATGCCAATGACTTTCTGAATCAGCTGAAAGAGTATCTCACTTTCCACTACATTTCCCAAATGCTATATGCAAACACTCATCACAACACCGTTGACAGATACATGCATGGTTGCAAAGTGATTCCTTGTACAAAACATAAAAACCTTGTAGCTGATAAGAATAATTTTAAACCAGGCTACCAAAAAACGCATTGTAAAAGCTATTAAACTTGGATAAAATGGAACCAACAGAGAAGAAATTTATAGTTGAGGTTTTTCAGGTTAAGCTCTTTCCAATACTGAACATGCACTCCTGCCAAAATTCCACCACACAAGTTGAATAGCTAAAACACTACCAAAACCCCACATTTAATGCAAAAAACAGTCTGTCACACAGTCAAACACACAGCTTAGCAGACCCACTGAACTAAGGCAAGCAACCATCTTCCCTCAGTTAAGAACTATTACAACTTCTAAATTACCACCACTAAAATACCTCCACCTCTCACAGAGTTCCAACACATCTCCTCTATGTACCGAGCACAAACTGAATGAGAGACTTCCTACTTCCATTTGAAGGGACAGCTCCAATAGGAAGCCTTTCGGTATGAGTGGGACAAGAAGCAACAGAATGTCGTAAGAACAGGAACTGGAAAGTCTCTCAAGAAATCAAAGGAAGGAAGATCTCTTGTGAATATGAATGTATTTTGTAGAGGGGACAAGGAATCGTGGAACCACRGAATGGTTTAGGTTGGAAGGGAACTTGAAAACCAACTCATCGGAACCCCCATGCCATGGGAATGGACACCTTCTGCTATCCCAGCTTCCTCCAAGCACCATCCAACCTGGCCTTGGACACTTCCAGGGATCCAGGGGCAGCCACAGCTTCTCTGGGCACCCTGTGCCAGTGCCAAGAGCCAAAGTGCAAGAGCCTCTTGGAGAGCACAGGCATTAGACAAGCACTGAGCAAGTGCCTTCTATTTCATCCCAGGGCATACCCGACAAAACACACAGTCTTCCTGCTTTGATCAGGAGCACAGTATTTCGAAGTTCCCAGCATTTTATGACTACAAGTATCAGGTTGCTGCTTCTGGCAAGTGTACCAATCTCACTCAGATTTCCTTAGTTTCCACCAGGTTTTGCTAAACACACAGGAAGCAGACTGCTTTTGACAAGGAGACAGAAATGCCCATAAGGAGCATATGAACCTGTCACAAAAGCTGTGAGAAAAAAAACACCAAAAATATCCACTTGTCATCAACAGGCAAATATAACAGGAAAAAAAAAAAAAAAAAGCAGGCTGAGGTAGTTTTGTAAGGCAAGACACACAGAAGCCCAAGCCTGGGCATACCACAGAGCCTGTAAACATTCAAAAGGACAAATTTCTAACCACCACCACTTCTACAAGGACATGAGCTGCAAAGAGGGGAAAAAAA